GCAAATTATGTAAGTGCAGTATGTAAATGAGAGAGGCAATTTATAGTGGTTCGGAAGTGGCGTAATCTTCCTAGTCCACTTTTCTCCTTTCGCGTCTAGGAGAAATTCACTATTTTCCACACACAGTTACAATAGTGAATAAGCGCTACACAAGCACTTCTTCCGGATGTTTTGCACACAGCTACACCCAACTCCGAGTGTCTCGCATACAGCTACACTCAACTCCGAGTATTTCGCACACAGCTATACTCAACGCCAACTAAGTGTCTTGCACACAACTACACTTAGCAACTACGAGTGTTTTGCACACAGCTACACTCACTAGAGTATTTTGCACACAGCTATACTCTTTCTACAATTACAAATACAAAGGTAATTGTATCTCTCTCCAACTAGATTTGAGACTATTCAGACTAAGTCTCTAAGAATATTTGAACACTTGCACTTTTGAATTTTCGTGTGTATTGGACTTCTATCTCGTTGCTCTACTCCTTCTCTGCACCACGTCTTCAAGTCTTCATGGCTTTTTATAGGCAATCAAATATATCCGTTGGAGTGGGATAATTTGATATTTGAATTTTGAATCTTCATAGCCTGATATTGTTGACAATAGTAGGTCTTCAATTTTGATTTGATTGTCAACTTGCCTGACAAAATAATATCTTATCTCCAATTGATTTGTTCAAAATATTATTTTGTTGTCATATTGAATATCCAACGTATCTTTGAAATAAATTCATCTGATAGAATTTATTTCTAGGATAAGTTTTTATATTCATGTCTTCATAAATATTTTTCCGTTCTGATCAAATGTCTTTCAGGCAATTTTGGATTCTTGTGGCATGTGGGTAGACTTGGAAATAAATTCCTTCGAATTTATTTGGTCACATTGTGCTCCTTTTGATACATTGTGCTCCTTAGTGAACATCATGCTCTTTTGCACATTGTGCTTGTCCGAAAATTTGACTTGTAAAAGTAAGTCCTTGGGGGGGAATCGATCTCTAGTGGGATCGTTTTGAGTAAAGACTTCTACCATTTCACCGTTAGGCTCATCCGATCATTCTTTGCAACGCCATTCCTTTATGCTTCTTTCTCGGATGAATACTCGTAGGACCAAAATTAATTTCTCAAATTAATTTTGTTCTTCCTATGGTAGATTCCTTTTGACTCGATATTCTGATTTATGATGCCTGTACTAAAAGACCTAAAAACTAAGGGGATCTAAAGTACATTTGGCTCATCAAAACTTACAAAAATATTCCTATCAATATATATATATATATATATATATATATATATATATATATATATATATATATATATATATATATATATATATATAGAGAGAGAGAGAGAGAGAGAGAGAGAAATGTACTCCGTAATAATTATAAGTGACGCTTTATTTCTGATTAGTATTACAATTTGTAGTATAAGTATTGCATTCATCTTGACTCGAACCGTTTCACAAATAAAGATCTGTGAGACAATCTCATACAAGTTTTTACTATTTTTATAAATTTGTGAAAGAAAATGCTTTCAAAATACATAATCACTAATCTTTGAAAGTTTGGATGATGCAATATAAATACGTTGAGTTTGTATAATACAAGAAATAATAATTTGTCTCATATAAGGAAGATGAGTTTGGCCATTATATAGGGAAAGATGCATATAAATACATTGATTGTATTTTTGGTGTTGAATTACTACTATCCCCATCACATTCAATAAAAGTATAATTTCACTTGTATAGATGTAAACACATTACCTAACTACGTAATGAAATCATGCATTCTTTGCTTTTGTGTCATTATTTTTGGAGTTTTTTCCCAAAATGGTCTCTCGACTATCGCTCATTCTCAATTTTACATTTTGACTTTTAATTGCACCCAATGTAGTCCCTTGACTTTTAAAAACTCCCCCAAATTGGTCCTCCGTTAGAAATTCTGTCTATTGAGTGTTAAAATGAAGGGCATTTTTGTCCGTTTACCTATTATATGCCTAATATACTCTGAAAAATAGTCGAGGGACCATTTTGGGAATAGTCGAGGGACCATTTTGGGAAAAATTTATTTATTTATTTCCATTTTTTTAAGACTATCATATTAGAATTTCTATAGATTTTTTTTCTTACAAATATAAATAGTTTTTAAACTTTCTCTACAATTTTTTCCTTCTGTCTAAACATACAAATTTTTCCTCTATCCCTATCAAGTTTTACAATAAGTTTCGTACTTTGGTAAACAAGTTTACCTTTCAAATTTATGTTTATTAATATTCATATATAAAATACAAACAAACTTCAAAATGAAAAGAACTTGTAATATTGAAAATTGATGAGGCTTTAGGTTTAGAATTGCTTGTTTTGTGCTAATTATTTTTGCATTTGGTTTATTTTACTTGTCCTTTAACACATAAAATTGATAGCCATAGTTGTAGACTCTCTTTAGCATGATGTACTTCTTGGTAGATAGGCATTTGGAAATGGTAGTTATGATTTGTACTAACTTTGGAATGAAACTAATGGCCTTGCAAGTTAAGTTAAGCCAACTTTTCAAAAATATTTCTAAGATTTTGTCATTGACCGAGAAGTGACGCGTACTTCTCAGTTCCAAGAAGTGCTAGAAGCATAGCGATTGATTGTAAAAATAATAATTTTATTTTCAAAGGCATACTGACCGAGAAATGAATCGTACATTTTGGGTGTCTAAACTAATATATAAAAATAGTAATGTTATTTTTATTGGTAAAAATAATATTTAATGTGATACATAGTGATTGATTGTCTATTGAAGTTTGTGTGTGTGTGTGTGTGTGTGTGTGTGTATGTGAACATAAAAAGTATATGAGTATTATATTTTTGAAACTTACGGAACTTATTGTAAAACTTGATAGGAATAGAGGGAAGTTGGTATGTTTAGATAGAAGGAAAAAATTTGTAGAGAAAGTTTAAAATTTTGACTTTTGATTGTGGATTTTAACTATTTATATTTGTAAGAAAAAAAATGTATAGAAATTCTAATTTGATAGTCTTAAAAAAATGAAAATAAACAAAAATGAAATAAATAAATGAGTTTTTCCCAAAATGATCCCTCGACTATTCCCAAAATGGTCCCTCGACTATTTTTCAGAGTATATTAGGAATATAATAGGTAAACGGACGAAAATGCCCTTTATTTTAACACTTAATAGACGGAATTTCTAACGGAGGACCGATTTGGGGCAGTTTTTAAAAGTCAAGGGACCACATTAGGTGCAATTAAAAGTCGAAATGCAAAATTGAGAATGAGCGATAGTCAAGGGACCATTTTGGGAAAAAACTCTTATTTTTGTTTCTTGTACGTTATTGTTAATCTCAACAAAATGTGAAGTTAATGATCACCGCATACGTTATATTGTTATGTAACACGTGCAACCTATATATCATACATGAGTTGGTCGGCATATCTCTACCAGGCAATAAAAGTAGGAGAAAGGATAGAGTGAAGGAATATCTGTGCGTGGCGTGGATGATGGAGACGTGATGGAATCCAGTAAAAGCAGTACAATGCTGCCACACAAAATATCTTTCATTTTACGCATCGGATAAATTAGAAAAATATTACATGTAATTTCATTTTTTATTCTCAACTTTTACTTTCATATACAAAATCTTGATGTAAACATTTATATTATAACCTACATGAAAAAGGTAATCTATCAATGCCGCCACATCAGTTGAGTAAAATTTAGGAAATGTGGTTTGGGAGTCTACGTAGTTGAACTCGATAAATTATCCTACCTATATCATATCATGCATGATGAACCAATCTAATTGTACATTCATACTGTACATTCATACTTTCATAACTGTACATTCATAATTCTGCAACTGTACATTCATAATTCAATAATTGTAAATTCATAATTTTCGAAGCTCTATGATCACAATTTTAGAGCTCTATGTTCATAATTTTATCACTATATATTCATAATTGTAAGTTCATAATGTCAGAGTTCTGTGTTCATAATTCCATAACTGTACATTCATAATTCCATAACTGTACATTCATAATTTTCGAAACTCTATGTTCACAATTTTATCACTATATGTTCATAACTAGCATGGTACCCGTGCGATGCACGGTCAATAAATTATATTTTAATTTTAGATATTGTTATTGTAATAAATAAACTAAATGACTGTGCAATATGTTATGTAATGATGCAATATATAAAAAATTGTTATATTCAAGATATAGGACTAATAAGGTTTTAGATGTAATAAATAGACAAAATATAATTTATTAGCGTTCCATAAACAAAACAATTTTGTAAACTATATTTTGAGTATTGTTTAAAAGATCTCTAGATTCCCCACAAATTAAGACTTTAAGACCATCAAGATTACTCACCCCTGCTACATATAATTGCCCATGGTTAAAAACTGGTTTTTTGTGAAAGTGTTTGACCTTGATTTTTGTTGATCGTCATTGCATATGATACCATAAGTGGAAACTGCTTTCTTTGAAATTTAAATGGTAGTCGTGAGTATTAAGGAATCAATGTTATATTTTGATTGGCCGAAATCTTAAGGAATCAATGTTATATTTTGATTGGCCGAAATCTTATATATGACTTTATTATATAGTAGGATTATTATTATTAAATAAAATAAGACACAATTTGTAAGCAGTAAAATATCAAACAATTATGTAATTATTTAACTAAACTATATTAATACAAATATTACAATCCACAAATATACACAAAATATAAACCATATATATCTAAATAGATTTTAAATATTACTCTAACAATGTAAATACATGTACTATAGGTGTAATTAATTCACTAATAAACTATATATACTATTTATTTATATTTTATTAATTTCTATATATAAATATATGTCTTTAAAATATATATATATATTTATATATATATTGCTAAACTCCTCAATCAACACGTGTATGTTAATAAAAAAAAAAAAAAGAAAAAAGATAAGCTTTGTTGAGAAGAAGGTTGGCTTCTGGACATTTCCGATCTGCACTCTCTCTCTCTCTCTGTCTACAGCACTATCAAGGATCTAAAGTTTGCAATGAGGTTTCTTATACTCCTCATTCTCCTGGAGATCAAACAATTCCATAAGCCCTGACCGATGATGCCGAGCCGCAATCCTCGACGTCGTCCGCCTCTTCTTCACCAATTTACATCCACCCATGACGTGAGCCCTTCGAGCACGGCCTTCTCCCCATTCCCAAGCTCATCATCACCGACGGCACCGAAACACTGGGCCCCATTTAGGACAAGCTCTTCTAACCGTTAGACCCAATCGCATCACATTTCCGATTTCCTCCAGATCTCACCTCAGGTACTAAGGTACTAAATTAATTTTTAACAGCTATTTAGGGTTTTTAGCTCATTTTTTTGATTGAGAATCATGTACAATTCCATAATTTATTATTGGTTAAATTGTAAAATTCGAACTTAGGGTAAGTCAATTGTCTTCTTCCTTTTTTATCTTACAACAGTTGATATAAATACTAAGATATTAGTTTGCAATTTACCATGCATTTTGTTCAAATTTATAGTTACAGTAGCAATTTGTATTCTGCTGCCTTAAGTTAATTTTGGGTGTTTCTATTTTAAAAATTCACAGACAGATGAAACACAGTATTTTTATACATTTTGAAAAACTTTTTTTTCCCAAACATGATTGTCCTAACATTTTCTCTACAATTTTTTTTTTCATTCTATATTTTCAAAGTTTATTTTCTCCGCAAAGAATTCTTTTTTGGTTGTTTTTTATAACTGATTTTCAGTTTTCCTTGTTTCAACTTTCAGTTTGTCTTTTCCTTCCAGTCCTTTATTCTTTATTTTTTTTTTGTTTTCCATTGTTTTCCATTTCCATTCTTTACTGGACCTGTGTAACTAAATTATATTGTCTTTGTAAACTATGGAGACCCTATCTGGTCACACAAGTCCAGTAGAGTCTATAGCTTTTGATTCAGCTGAGATTTTAGTAGCTGCTAGATCTTCATCCGTGTTAATAAAGGTGTGGGATCTAGTACATTCAAAAAGTAAGTTAGCCTTTCAAATTAGGTTCTTCAGTGAATATAAGTTGCATGTATCTATTATTCTGTAAATATGATATTAAAAAATTGCAACTTGACTTCTAATCTGTCTATTATGATGCAGTCGATTTTGATGAAAAGAAGAATGCTTTTCAAACCATGATGCATGCACCCAAAAAAAAGTTCATGAACTTAACAAAATAAAGTAACCAATGTCCAGTAGGATTAGAACCAAATGTCTAGTAAGGACTCCCCAGAACGAAACATCACATAGCGAATTTTCATTCTATTTATTATGAATGTCATATGTTTTTGTTTAAGAACATAGATGGCAGGAAAGCATTCTCCTTTTCATTAAAAAGAAAAACTGTTTCCATATTTACTATCTACTATATAAAATCGAAAAAACTATATTTCCAAGCACATGTGCAATTTACATTACTAATTATGCCTTTCATTCAATTATGCATTTCATTCAATTATATAATATTCTTTTATTATATGCAGGCTGTGTGTCTTTGAAATAATAGGATATTGGGTTCAAAAATGAGATTTTGTATGATATCCACAGCAGCCCAGGTAAATATTAACTTATTCCAATGGAATTAAAAATCACCAGCCTAAACCATGAACCCTAAAACCCGGAACATAAAAATCACCAACCTGCAAAAATTGTAAAATATTTAGTCAAAACAAAAACTTTCTTGTTATGGTTAAATCAAATATGATTACCAAGTTTTTCAATCTCTTATGCCTCTTCAGCAATATTTGTACTGCATTATCAATCTTGCTTGCTTGCCACTGAAAACCTTTTGTGATTCATGCTTGTAAATGCAATCTTATAAATGTATATATACATACCTCTTGCTGCCATATATTTTCATAGGAACAATATATGTTAGTTGTGTGTAATTGTATTGAAAATTACAATTGCCTCACTGATTTCCATATCATGATATAATTTTTGTATATGAAACTAACTAAACAAAAAGGCAAATGATGAGTACTACCATCTGATGCCTAAGCCATAAGCAAATGTGCAGGTGTTCTCAATTCTAATCCTCACCTTAAATATTCAAGCAACTGTGTTGTTCCACCTTGTGAATGCTTCCCCATCATCATTCCGTAGTTTGTAACTCTTCTATTTTCATCCACTGTCCCTCCGTGAACCTGAAATGGTTTGTGAGTTCTGAAGACTTAAATTTATAGTGTGTTTATAGAAATTTATGTGTATATTTAATGTTAGTCTTGAAGATTGCAAAAGTTCAGGTCCTTTTTTGACGCAATCGAGGTTTGTTCTTCCCTGTTTTCTGTCAATTTGACAAACCTAAACTAACTATACTTGTTTTCATGGACAGATCTAGTACGGTGACTCATCAAATTCATCGATTGCTTGAAAGGTGTCTGAAATCTGGGGTTTTGATAGGTTTACTCTCAGAACTAAGTTAGACAATACTGGTAATTTTGTTCGAAATAACATTCTCTGTTATTTGCTTATTCTATTTCATCCTAACATATAAATTTTTTCGTTTGGTATTTGTAAGCTATTAGCTGTTTCGTGATGCCTATGACTTGGTAAGCCTGTTATAGTACACATTTTTACACTGTTATATAAATTACCAGTCATCAAGAACACTAAGTTTATAGAAGAGGCTTTAGATGCTTATAAAATTTAATTTCCCACCAAATCCAGTTTTAACAGTAACAGTAATAGAACTCAATGAATGCCTTTTCATGTGATATCATATGATAAGATTTACATTGCTTTCAAAAATACTTCTACAATTTTTAATTTTTTTCGCATATATGTTTGTCATTAACACATTGGTTGAGTTATTTGCACATGATGATAATGAAATATGATGTTTACTGCAGTGAAGAAAGTTCTAATACCTGGATTTGGTGTAGGTTGTGGCTTCCTCTTTCTTCCTATGATTGCGGAAGTTGTTAGCTTCTTCATGCTGCCAGACTTGTGTTCTGGGAAGATATTAGAGAGGATTTTATAAGACTCTGTAAAACGTTTCATGGATTCTTTAGCTATTTAATGTGTGGCGTGAGGGCGTGACATTGGAATACTAACAGTTTTCTTGGAATGAATTTATGTAATTAATGCTCATCGGAAAACATGTATGATTTAGGATACCAAAGTCGGCTATCACAGGGCAACTGTATAACAGTACCACTACAAGAAAAATAAATCGCGAATCGCGACGGAAACTATTCCGTCGCAATATAGCAAAGGATAATGCGACGGAATAGTTTCCGTTGCAAATTGACGACGGAATTTGCGACGGAAATTAATTCCGTCGCAATTTTAGGCGCAAAGAAAAAATTAAACCCGCGAAATCTTGGCGGCAAAATATTCACGACGGAATTTATGATAGATGTAAGTTACGTCGTTCATTTAGCGATGGAAAAGACGACGGAATTAAGTTTTGTCGCGAAATGGCGACGGAAATTGCGACCAAACTTTTATCCATCGTGAAAAAAAATACATTTTTTTTAAAAAAAAAATATTTCTACGGAAATAACAACGGAATTAATTCCGCCGCAATTGTTTCTTAAATTTTATTTAAGTTAAATAAATACTTTAGTTCTTGAACGCAAAAAAAAATACCAATTTATTTCTTAACCTATTTCAGATCCAATTTATTTCCCTAAGCCCTTGCTACTTGCTAGTCCCCTCGCCCTCTCTTCTCTGCCTCAAAGCCGCACGCCAATCGCCGCCGTCCAAGCATCCTCGTCCCCCATTCAAGCATCGTTGTCGCCGGTCAAGCATCCTCGTTCCCTGTCCAAGCCTCCACTCTTCTCTGTTTCAGCAAGCACGCACGCCTTCTCTTCCCTATTTCAGCACGCACGAACGCCGTCCAAGCCTCCTCGCCGCCTAGCCTCGCAGTCTTCGTCCCAGCCGCCAATCTCCTCCGCAGTCGCCGTCCAGGTCTCTCTTTAATTGTAATACATTTTGCAATTTTATTATATTAGGTTTGGATATTAAATTTCTGCAATTTTATTGTATTAGGTTTCAATATTAAATTTCTCTATATTTATATTTAATTTCTACAATATTAGATTTGAATATTAAATTTATGTTATTATTTTATTATATTAGGTTTCAATATTAAATATTAGAAGAAGAGGTAAAAGCAGAAGAGAAAAAGGAGTTGATAGCTTAATCTAACAATAGTAGGGATTGTTTGGTTGGAGTGAATTGGATTGAGCAAAACATGTCTCAGGCCAACTGGGAAGCTGATAAATGTATGCTTTATCACTAGATTTTTTTTATTATTATTTTGTAAATCTGTATAGATTATTTATGTTTTTTTAATCAATTTTTAAAATGCCACTTTGTGTAATTTCAGTGGTTCTTGTTAGTCTTTTGCTGTGGGAGTCTCTTGGTATGTCTAATTGGTTTAGCTATAAGCGTACTGTTCTTTTCGCTTCACTTTTAAAGGTTTCAAATCAGTCCAGAATTAGTGGTAGAGGCTGAATGGTTTCTAGCTTTCTGAATCTAATCTTTTCGTTTGCTTTATGTGTCTGTTCATCATTATGTTGGCAATCTAAATATCTTAATGTTGATGAGAAAATTGAGCGCTGAATTTGGCAGATACCTCTTATTGAGCTCCTATCTAAAATCTTGAAAGGTATTCTTTTATGTTTTTCTTTTGGGTATGCTGGGTCTTATTCATTCATATATTTATGGTGTTTGACCATTTTGCTTGGTATTGATGTCAAGTGGTGTTTCTGGAGGCCATAACCTTCTTATGATACTTTTATTCTTGTCCTTTCACTGTCTCCCTCACACTCTCCGGCCCTAACCTCAGCCTCGCCGGACTCCTTGTCGAGTTTTCGGCCCTCAGCCATTCAGGTAATAATGTAATTTTTTAATTTCTTATACTGTTAATATGTTATTTAGTGTTTAATTAAGTAGGTAAATTTTTATATTGTTAATAAATCAATAATAGGTAAATTTGTATATTGTTAATACGGAGTATGTTATTTAGTGTTTGATTAAGTAGTTAAAATTTTTATACTGTTAAATTTTTAATAAATTGATTGCAATAAACTAACTCAAATTGATAATCTTTCTAAAGTTGCCCCTTTTAAGTAATCAAATTTTAATGCTCACATCCAAGATGGGTTATGTTCTGCACACTAAGGTGTCTAGTTTAATTATTCAGATCTGTTTTTTTTTTTTTTCTTCTTATCCTTGTTGGTTAGCTTTGGAGTGAAAGAATTATAGAAATTGGCAAAGACTTTAGACTGTTTTCAAAGGTGGAGGTGGTGAGTTATAACCTCAACATCTCTTAACTATGTTATTACTTCAGTTTTTTTTTTTTTTTCTATTCTATGTGTTTGAATTTATTATTCTTGAGTGTGGAATCTCATTTCCTTTAAAATAGGAATGTACTGGTGCTCCATTTCATTATTTTGGGTTAACTACTTAATCTTGGACTTACCACAATTATTCTCTATGCAAAGTGTATGCTCATATTTATCTGCCATGTTCTATTGTCTTCACCTTTTTACTTGGTGTTAATGAAGTGCTCAAAGCCACATTTGTCGTTCATGTATTGTAGTAGACATATTGGACATGGTTAATACATTATAAAACTGGAGTGTAAGAGGAGCGTGTTGGCTTCATTGCTTCTTTAGAGTGGAGGGATGAAAAACTAATGATATATCTAATATATAAATTTCAGTTTCTATATTTATTCTAGTATCATCATTTACTTAGTTGTTTGTTTTACAGGGAGATGGGAGATTGTTCGTGCGAATTGTTTAGAGTGAAGATTGGTGGTGTCAAAACAAAATTAGTTCTAGTGGCAAGTTTTTTCTTAACCTCAAATATCAAATATTAACCTTCGAACTTTTCAGGCTGCAATTATTTGTTGTGATTTTATTTTGTTGGCAGAATTTCTGCAGTTAACTCTTGATGATGTTGCTTGTCTTTGCCTAAGTTCAAAGGGTTGACTACTACAATGACTGCTACATCGGATGTTAGCATTGGTTTGTCTTTGCCTAAGTTCAAAGGGTTGACTACTACAATGACTGCTACATCGGATAAATGAGCATTGGATTTTTTTTTTTTTTGTTTACTATTTGTTGGTTATAGGTGGTAGATTTTCATTACATGTATCGTTTTTTGTTATTTAGACTTGAATTGATTATTTTTAGTTACTAAATGTGGATTGATGATGTATTATTACTTGAAATTAAATGTTTTTTTTTATAATTAATTGTGTTTTACTATATCATTATAGTTTTACATTAATATTTTACAAGGTCATATTACTATTTAAAATTAATAATTATAAATAATTTTTTTAAAAAAATTCAAAAATGCGACGGAATTGCGACAAAATATATGTTACACTAAATACGATGGAAAATAATTTTATTGCCAAAATGCGACGGAATTGCGACGGAAACAAAAAATGGCGATGGAATATTCGTTTCCAAAATGGCGACGGAAAAAGTTCCGTCGCAATTTTGCAACGGCTTATTCCGTTGCTAATTCCGTCGCCATATTTTGCGACGGAATTATTCCGTCGCGTACAAAAATACGACGAGCTGATAGACGACGGAACGGATTCCGTCGCAATTCCGTCGCAAAACGTGATTCGCGACGGAATTTTGCTGTTTCGCGACGGAAAAATTCCGTCGCGATTTGCGATTTTTCTTGTAGTGAGTGTATTTAGAACTCTATTTCTATACAAATTCTAAACGACTGTGTTTTTAGTAGGCGGGATTTTTTGGCTCCAACGTGATTCCCTAGGGGTGTGGCTATTTTATATAGTAAGATTGTAAGTTCATAATGTCAGAGCTCTGTGTTCATAATTCCACAACTATACATTCATAATTCCACAAACGAATAACGCTGTTAACGGCTAGACAAAATTGACTCTTTTTTTTTTTTTTTAACTGGAATGCTGTCGTTTTCTCTGAAAACAACGTCGTTTTGCCTTTAATCTGAGGGACTTGCAAACACGTGCATGCCTTTCGAGAGATGCCTAGAAATTTTAGTGAGGGAGTCGGCCACAGAATTTTGTTCACGCACAATTTCAACAAGCTGCCAAACTTCGAAAGAACGCAGGTCTCTTTTACAGGCTTGGAGTATGTTGTGGGCCACTGTGGAGGGTGGCGTCGAACTATTTATATACTTCACAATATTGCTTGTGTCCGACTCAAATACTACTTTGTTTTAGCCCATATGTGTAGCCAATTGGATGCCCTTTAATAAAGGCGAAGCCTCCGCTTTTTGCAAATTATGCCCTAGAAAAGTGATCACCATGAACGGTGAACATAGATTTAAACGGTGTCATTTTTACGAAAACTTTTTTTTAGTTAATATGCTGTTAACAGCGCGTATTTGTTCAGATTATGAATTTTCTGTTATGAGATTATGAATGTACTGTAAATTCATAATATCATAACAGAAAATTCATAATCGCATAAAAGAAAAACATTTATAAAATTATGAATTTTCTGTTATAAGATTATGAATTTACAGTTATGTAATTATGAATTTTCTGTAAATTCATAATCTCAAAACAGAAAATTCATAATTTCATAACAGAAAATTCATAATCGCATAAAAGAAAAATATTTAATAAATTATGAATTTTCTGTTATGAGATTATGAATTTACTGTAAATTCATAATCTCATAACAGAAAATTCATAACAGAAGAGAAAGTGAAACCGCGAAATGCGAAAATGAAGAAAAAAAGTCGCGCGGTTAATTAAGAAAAAAAAAAGATAACGGTGCACTGTTACTGTTGGGACCGTGTTCACCATCCATGGCATAACGATTGTCCGCTATAAGGCGGTGTTTGGTTGGATGGAAATCAAATTCCATGGAAAAGATTTTCCATGAAAAGTAGGAAAATGTTGTTTTACCTTGTTTGGTTGGATGGAAAATCTTTACCATGGGAATTTGACTTCCTAAAAGTGAAGGAAAAGAAAATCTGACCTAAACATTGGTATTTTGTTTTCCGGATGAGCTGGGAAGAAAATATAGTATATTGGATTATATTGTACATAATTTTATACTAGAATACACATAATTATATACATGAATGTACATAATTGTATAACAAAATACACATACTTTTTT